AGAGAGAGAGAGAGAGAGTGAGTACACACATTATGAACACACACACACACACACACACACACACAGATTGACATACATGCTCAGGGCAAGTTCTGCAATCCTACTGTATGTGTACAGTATGTACATTGAGCACTGCTCTTCAGTTGGCTCGGTTGGGGACAAATTTCTTTTTATTTTTTATACATTTGTATTTTTGTAATATAAAACAATTTATTTTATTTGGATGAATTTGTCTGTCTTTTATCAGATTTACCAGTTGTTATAATTTCTATTTGTGCTGGTCAATTATGAACAATAGGTCAAATTGAACTGCTAGCAAAAACTTGAGAGAATTGGTCCGGGCCGAGGGGCCGCTGCTGCAAATATTTGAGTGGCTCCTCCCCTAACAGATGTAATCTCACTCCAAACTTTTGATATAACTTGAGAGCCCTGTTTATGAGATATCCACAACTCTAGTTTAAACTAGTATAAAGGCAGTGTTATCGGTCAAAACTTCTGACGAGAAATAGCGCAGACACTGGACGAAGATGATTGTCCAATGGAGTATAGTTTGAAAGTCTGTGCGTTCAGCTGTAAGCACACGCTGAGCGACCTTGTAAACACGGTCTTAAATAAGTTATAAAGTCCTAAATGACCGTAAAGAGTTGGAAGAAAACCAGATGCGTGCCAGATCCACATCATGTGCATCAGGTTTTAAAGAGACAGCACTGCTTTTAAAGTGAAATCTGATGAAGTCTGCCATTGATGTAAATCACAGAACAAAAGAAAAAGAAATCACTAGACTGCTCTAGTCACTGATAAACTTTTGTAGCTTGAATAAGGAATAATCTATATAGTTTATGCATGTACAATTAAGTTTATGTGACGATTGTTTTAAGTTCACTTAAAGGAACACTCCACTATTTTTGAAAATAGGCTCATTTTCCAACTCCCCTAGAGTTAAACAGTTGAGTTTTACCATTTTCGAAGCACTAAGTTGATGTATTTCCTCAGCGACCAGCACAGATCAGCTTTAGGCATGACGAAGCGGATATCGTCCTCTTTTGGAAGACCAAACAAAGTAGTTTCGCTTTCACAACGAAGCACACAGCGTCTTCACGACATGGCTGCAGCGTCAACAAAACTACAGTGAGACTAAAAGTTACGCCTTCTTTCTTTGCGTGAACATTTGGGCGGCGTTATGCAAATCTTCCCACATAGTGAGGTAGATATGTGGGGGCGTGTTAGAACGAGCCGTTTTAGGTAGGTGTGGCTGACTGAACTTTTATAAAGAATATCTCTTTGGATTTGAGACTTTAGTCTTTGCAACTTTACAGATCTTCTTTATGCACCAAGAGCTTGTAACACTCCAAAGAGAAAGGAAAAATTTAAATCGCATCATATGACCCCTTTAATAATAGGCTACTTAGTAAAAAGATGCCATTAAACACATATTTAAAATATACCATCTTTATGTTGTTTCTACATTCATTTGGAGGTTCAATGTGAAATTATGACAATATGAATGTATTAATATGCAATTAATCTTGATTAATTACAGAAAAAATTTGCAATTATTTATTTTTTAATCGGTTGACAGACAGCAGTATTGTTAACCTTTTATAGATGTTGGTATTGGTAATATTAGTTAATTTTACAGCTGAATATGCATTTAAATTTAATTTCTAATTTTATAGGCCTTACAGAAAGAGCCCCACACCCCCTTTGGCCCCTTCAAATTTTCAATTTGATAATCCAGCCCTCAAATGAAACTAACTGAATAGCCCTGCTATAAAGAGTCACAGTCTCTATAATTTGCTTGAAAAGAAGATTGTGGACGTCTCTGAGATTGATTACGATATAAAATCGTCAAATCGCCCACCCCTACTTTGGAGGAACTTTGTTGTTTTCGTCTTTCTGAAATAGACTTGCTTGTGTTTGCAAGATGAATGCTGTGCCCAGTCACAAAAAAATAAAAACACTTTTTACAAATTTGATTGATTTTGGATGTGACTTCTGTTTCCCTGAGTGCTCTTGTTGTCTCTGTTAAATACAGTGTAATGACATTCAGTCCTGATGTGACCCAAAGAACCTGCTCACCTCACTCTCTCAAAGTGCTGATTCACGTGGATTACTTTCAGAACAGGGGCGCGGGAAGATGTTTTAGGTTGGGGGTGCTGTACGCCCACTGTATATATATATATATATATATATATATATATATGACCTTAAGTAATTAAATGAATGCTTACGTTTGGCAAAGTAATGAATGTAGGGTCATAAAATTGAATCAGTGGCTCTTTTAAGGTTTAGGAGCTAAAAGACTTGTTGACAAATTACAGCATTGCTTGAAAGGTGGTCGCTTCAGTTCATTGAGTTTATAGCTTCTTACTTACGCTTTACCAAAAGTGACTGCTGTGTTGAAGGGATGTTTTAGTATATTCAATATGAAAATTTAATTTACGTAAACTAGAGTGCTTTTCTAGTTGTATTTTTGTTCCAAATATATACTGTCACTTTAGTGATTCTGACTTTATATGTGCCATATAAATATCACTGTTTTGTAAGAATATGTATGCCTGTTTAAAGAAAAAGGTCAAATTTGTTGATTATGGTTTCCCTTACAGTCAGTTTAACCTCATGTTAACCCATAATATTCTTTTAAATATTTGAATGTTTTTATTATCAGTGTTGTTATTTTTACACTAGTATAGTATTTGATGATTTTTTGAATAAGCTTTTATTTTTATATTTTCAGTTATCATTTTTCATTTTAGTTTTAGTCATTTTATTATGTGCTTTTGCCATTTTTAGTACTTTTTCTATAATTTCTATTTAGCTTTATTTTTTATTTTAGTTGTAGTTTTGATCATTTTAGTATTTCAACTTATTTTATTTGACTTAGTTTTATTTGAATTACTAATGTAATAGACAACATTTAAAATTTTTGCTTCTACTAATATTTATGTTTTCAGCTTTATTTCAGTTAACAGAAATGATTGTTAGTTTCAGTTTTAGTTAACAATAACAACACGTGTGAATATGTGTCTTTAATTCGATGCTGTCGTATCAACAACCAATCAGTAAATAAACTGATGTAAATCTCAAAATTTTCATCATAGTAACGATCCCCAGCTCATTTTGAATGTAAAAATGACTCTCAGTTCAGTGAGGGAGTCAGCTGCAAACTCAGTAAGGGCTCTGAACGATTCACAGTGAGTCTGATTCAAACCGCTAACTCATAAGCAAATTCGAGGACTGTTTTGTGAATCTTTTGACTGATTCAGTAAAAAGAACCAGACATCATGACTTGCACTGTTTTCATGTGCAGGAACTCTAGCCTGAGGATATCTGATGCATATGAACGCACACAAAGATTTTCTGAGTGTCACTGATGCCGAATAGATTATGAATGATTGGAAACAGAAATATGCTCAGTAGTCTTAGCAGTCATTTTCTCTGTGCTTGTTTACAAGAGAGTGAGGACGCGGAAGGATGATAAGGGAAGTGTATAGCATAGCAATTATATCAGTGATAGGCATCTGTGTCTTCTTGCCTGCAGGCCCTGCGTGTGATGGCAAAGATCATGAGGGAATGCTGGTACGCCAACGGAGGTGCTCGCCTCACCGCGCTGCGTGTGAAGAAGTCTCTATCCCAGCTCAGTCAACAAGAGGGCATCAAGATCTAGAGCAAACCTCTCTTCATCTTTACACTGCCTATCCACTCATCTAGAGAGGACAGCGAGGGACCTGCATCCGGTGTGGAGGTTTACTTCAATCAGGGATATCGAGAGACCAGAAGCGATTGGTGCTGTTCCCTGTTGTCCATGAAAAGAGACATCCTCATCATGCAAGACCACCTCAGACAAACTTTACCAACCATGCTTCATCTGGTGAGTCACCAAACAACTAACCACAGTTGGCCATTCGGTGTCAATGATGTGCTTTGCAAGCTGGACTTGAGCCTTTTTGGGCTTATTTCTGTATATAGCCTGTTGTCCATAGATGTACATATCTGAGTGGACTTGCTTGACTTGTGTATACTTGTATGCTCATATATTCACGTATAGATGTTCACAGAAACAAATACTGTGCATATTGACGTGCTGCAGTGTTTTGTCCCAGTAAGTGTCACTGCTCTGAAACTTTTAACATATTTGGTAAAAAAAGGATCTTTCTAGGTATCAAATCGCTACGTCTGTTTACAGTGGACGTCGGATTCACACAAAACAGCTCAGAAGTTGAAGAAAAGTTTTAAAGTAGCAAAAATCATATTCTGCTGATTGCTGTTACATTGGAGGATTATTTGGAGGTGGTTTCGTCATGTGGCTTGCGACTTCACCGCACTCTCTTTCCAGAGACCGAGAGCAGCCCATTCAATCATGCAGCATATTAGAAGCAGCCCGTGGTGCTGCCTGAGGGAACCAGTCCTTAAAGAATCAGTAAGAAAACTGGGTTAGTCATTAAGAGCCATTTGTACAAAGACCAACTTAGCTACAGAACATCTGCGTTAATGTAATAAGGATGTGTATGCTTTTATACACATTTGAACGGACGGAAGATCTGATTATATTTTTCTTCAGTACATAATTTACCGTTTCCATTCATGCACCTTGAGGCTTTAAGAGAACATGTAGCTCAGAAAGATGCTAACTATGACCTATCTATTGTATTTTGCTCTGTGCATATAGTCTGAACATGTTCTTCGGGTTGAGTTATCCAGTCTTACTAGTTTTGCTGTATGTGCTGTTTTTATGGAGCTGGATTTATTCAGATCAGTACAAGACACCATTTTGATTGTGACCTCATGCATATAGTTGAGCAACAGTCTTTGAGCCGCAATGTACTGTATCTCGTGGATGTGTAACTCTGTATTTGGTCAAGCTAAGTAATAAGTGCTCCTTTGATTATTGATTTTGTTGTATTTCATAGCTGGAGGCTAAGTGCGCTCAGAGTCAATGAATGTGCTTTATGTCCCTTATCAAACTCTTTCTGTGATCTCAAAACTTTTTTAGACCGTCTATAGACATTTTTAAGAAATCTGTCTTTATTTGGACAGCCGAAAAATCGTCTGGGGTGTTTTTAACAGTCAAGTCAGGTGGAAATCTTCTCTGTGAAGATGTGAACCAAGCTACTTTAAAGGAATAGTTCGCCAAAAAAAGAATATCGTCATCAATTACTCACTGTTATGTCATTTCAAACGAATTAGACTTTTGTTCATCATTTTTAATGAATCTGAGAGATTACAGTCCCTCCTATGAAAGTCTATGTAACCAAAATTTTTACTCTTTAATAAGTTCATAAAGCGGTTATAAAAGAAATCCGTATAAATCGAGCTGTTCTTCATAAAAATCAATTGTGTCTTTACAGAAGACTTGAATTAAACTGCTCGATTCATGTGGATTTCTTTTACAATGTCTATGAACTTCAAGCATCAAAGTTATGGTACAATGAACTTTCAGTGGACTAAATGGTATTTCATTTCATTTCAAATATCCTCATTTGTGTTTCAAAGATGAACAAAAGTCATACAGGTTTGGAATGAGTAATAGATGACAAAATTTTAATTTTTTCATAACTCCTTCACTCTGGATTTTTGTTATAAACTCATGCCAAAAATCACCAGCAGCCTTCAGTACGTTCCAGTCAAACAATGAAGCAAATGTCTAGGTTTCTCTAGGTATCCACAACCTCACCAGCTCAGATATTGTCATTTGATGTCATTTACTCTATCTAAAGAGTCAGTGTACATATTTTTTACATATATATATAAAAAGGAAACATGTTGTTGTATGACTACACGGTCACTTTGGTGTCATGTTGAACATTCAGTATTAAAAGAGGGTCACACTACAATAGCGCCACACTCTTCTGCAACCCACATTGGCATTAACTCGATGAATCAATGAGTTCCTGCTCAAAAGGGCAGGAAATGATGTGGGATGCAGCCAGGAACACTTACGCTCTGATATGCAATCTCGCTGTGTTTTCCCGTGCATGATGCAATACAAGTGCCTCGATTTTATATAGATTGTGCTTTCTGCAAAGTCACAAATTATTGGTATTTCCAGCCCCTGAAATCCAGAATGGATCTGTATTCGTAACTATTTGAAGGTCATACCTCTGTTCATCTTTGTTCATTCCAAGGTTATTGTTTCGTGCGGACAAATTTTGCTATTCAGATTCAGTTTCCTCTATATATTAGTCATTCCAGAAGCCTTTTTTTTATAATGAGTGCCTACTCTGTGGTTGGTGTAAATGTAATTTGTTTGGGTTTCCGGTCACACTGAAGCTTCTTAAAAGAGCTGAACCATCACTGTAAAAAAACACTACAGTGCAAAACTCAAAAATAATTCATCTCAAAAGCATACCTCTTTGTACAAATGTGATCATTTACCTCAGTGACATTGATTTGTACAAAGTGCTTTCATTGTGAAATGTTTTTATGTTTTATTTGTGTCTTTCAAGGAATTGTCAGTTATGTATTCTAGTGCTCTCCCTAATATTTGAAACACTTGGCAATCTCTGCAAATGAGAAAGACTTTTGAGTCTTATTTTCTTCTACAGTGTCACGTTGTCATTCGGATTAGAGTGTTCAAGGATCAGATTGAAATGAATCACTGTTAACGGATGAGAAGATGAATGCTCAAATTGTAGTGGATATGTCTTTTTTCTGTTGTTAAACTTATAAATATGAAATTCATGTTAATAAGGTACTTATTTTACCTTGGAGAATTTGGTGTATTTCTTGAAAGTTGGACTTAAGTGCGACACATTGTCTCTTCAATGTTCTTGTGTGGATGTCTGTAGTTTTATTTCTCTGTTGCAGCACTGAACATCATGGGGAACAATTGATTTTCATAGATGCCCATTTTGAATTTTGCCTAAATATTTCTTTGACTCCACTAACAGACCGCTGAATAGAAGCACACATACATTGCTGTACAAAAGTTTGAAAGGAATAAATACTTTTTCTGCAAGAACTCATTAAATTGATCAAGAGTGGCAGTAAATTTGTAATGTTCAAAATTGAAATAAATGCTATTCTTTGTATTCCTCAAAGAATTTTGAAAAAACATAATATTTTACAATATTACAGTATTCTCACTGTATTATTGATCTGCAGGATTTGAGCGTGTTCCTCTGTACAGTAAAGTGCAGCTGTGGTATCCGTCTGGTTTACTGTTCAGGTATTGCAGGTGTATAAAAGGGTTTTCTGGTGCTCTGGAAATCTACCTCAAAGAACTAATTTGTTCTTTCTTCACAACACGTCAAAGTCCACCAGCTTCTTCTACCTCAACACACACACAACAATCAGGTAAGGGAAGAATGCAGGAGCAGAACAAATGGGTCTCAGGCAAAAGAAACAGCAGGTGTGAAAAACTGATTCGAGAAGAAATTTGACCATCGTGTCTAAAAAATATACGAGACGACACACTGTAAACATCTAGTCAAGTTCATTTAATCCTTGAGGACACTGAATATTTAACTGCGAGTCTATGATGCTGCCTCATGTTCCACAAACTGAGGACTTGCTTACACTTCCTGACTACTGTGTGTGTGTGTGTGTCCTTGAGGACACTGAATATTTAACTGCGAGTCTATGATGCTGCCTCATGTTCCACAAACTGAGGACTTGCTTACACTTCCTGACTATCTCACTTGTGTGTGTGTGTGTGTGTGTGTGTGTGTGTATACATATACATATACACATACATACATATACATGACACTTACATGTATATATATTTTTCTATTCTTTGCAAACGTACATATGCAAAAAAAAAAATATTAGTAAAAAAAATTTAACTTTTTTTGAGATTTTAATTGCCATTACAAGCAGGTAAATAAGAACAGTACAATGCTCTGAATACATTATTTAAACATTTTCTTTTTAACCCTCTACATTGTTCATCTACGCTGTCTGTTCTCGGAGCCCTCTTTAATTTGTGTGCTGTATGTGTTTAGAAAGTGAAGAGATTGAATTCATCCACATTCTGGACTGTGGACAACTGGCTCGGTTGTGCTCAAACTTTTATGAAGTCTGCATTATAAATTAGTGAGAGGAGCTGAAGGTCAAACAAATGTTGTTCTGTCTGTTTCAGAGGCCACAAGTGATGCTGACAGGAAGAGTGGTTTGAAGCGTTCTTCCTTTTTTTTCCCCCTTCTCTCTAATGCACCTGAAGGCACAAGCTAGATACTGTACTTTAAAGCAACCGTATCCTTGACCTCTACCTAAACAGACCCTGTTGGGCCACAGAGTGAAGAACTACTTGTTTTTTTTATCAATTATGCCAATAGAAACTATCCATTCCGTATTGCAGGAACAAATGAGATGGGATGGTTTCAGTCGCTTTCATTTAGCGGCGTTCCCAATGCCTTTCCGTTGATGTAATTATTCAGTTATTGTTCTCTGTGAAAGAAATATCAAATAATGAAGTCTAGACTGAAAAGTTGCAAAAGAACAGGTCCGCCATTCTGATCTGGCCTTATCTCCGAAGAGACTCGCTCCGCTGCTACACAATTTACAGCTGCGTCAAAGGAATTACTTTTTCAAACATAACTTAAGTAATGTGCCAAGAGAGACTGGATACTGAAGCAAACACAAACTCCGATCTGATCATTCAGAACACCGTTCAAAGGCATCATTTTTTCTTTGGCTTTTTGTTTCACCTTGAACATCCTCAGAGGCATTTTTGCAAGAATTTCCTGATGTTCAAAACTGAGCCCAGTATAGTGCAGTATTCAGATCTGCTCTGTTTTCACCAGTAGCTATATAACAGTGTAGACAGACACAAGGGTGTACAATGCCTTGAAGAGAATGAAAATTCTCGCTGTCCTTTTCCAGACAAGGCAAATTTGATTGATTGTTGCATACACTATCATTATGAGGAATCAATTATGACATGACGTAAACTGATGTTGGCGCGTGTGCTTTTCCTTCAAAGTACAACGGTAAGTATTAATAATGCCTAGATCTGAAACTAAAGAGGTAGAGTCCACTGGAGATTATTACTTTACAGCGCCACCTTGTGGTGGTAATGAACTGTTGCCAATGTAAAGTAAACTTTTTTTTTTAATCTGTATATTTATGTATGACACGAATATATTTATTGTTTCAAGTAATTAATTAATATATTAAATATTAACAATTTATTTATATTAGGTAAGAATATTTTACTTTGTTTTATTAATATTATAATTTATTAATAATACTAATATATTAAAGACTATTCATATTACTTAACACTTTTAATACTATTATATTTTATTTATTTCTAAATAATACTAATATATTAAACAAAGCTGTACCAAAACTTGTTCCAAATATGTACTTTGCAACCCAACCGAGCAGCCACAAAATCTCTGCTAGGTTTGATTTACAAAGAAGGATTATATCAGGTCACCTTTTGTAACACGTATATCCGAACATGTGTACATCTGTACATGTATATCTGTATATAAAACAAAAAATAGAATAACAGCCCATAAACGCACATATCTAGTTATTTCAGAAACTGCTTATTTGCTGGAATTTCCATGCATGACCATCTCTAGGGTTTACAGTGAATGGTCTAAAAAAAGAGAAGATATCCAGTGAGCGGCAGTTCTGTGAGAGAGAATGCCAGAGAATAGCCAGACTGGTTTGAGCTGATAGAAAGGCAACAGTAACTCAAATAACCACTCGTTACAACTGAGGTAGCTGTATGCAGAAGAGCATCTCTGAACACACAACACATCAAACCTTGAAGCAGATGGGTTACAGCAGCACCCGGTGCCACTCTTGTAAGCTAAGAACAGGAAACTGAGCCTACAATTTGCACAGGCTCTCCAAAATTGGACAATAGAAGACTGGAAAAGGGTCGCCTGGTCTGATGAGCCTTGATTTCTGCTGTGATATTCAGATGGTAGGGTCAGAATTTGGCATAAACAACATGAAAGCATGGATCCATCCTGCCTTCTTTCAATGGTTCAGGCTGCTGGTGGTGGTGTTATGTGTGGAGGATATTTTTCTTGGCACACTTGTGCTCTTTAGTTCCATTTGAATATTGTTTAAACGTCACAGCCTACCTGAGTATTGTTGCTGAGCATGTCCATCCCTTGGTGAACAGTAGCGAAGCAGCAGGATAACACACCATATCACAAAGCTCAAATCACCTCGAACTGGCTTCTAGAGCATGTCAATGAGTTCATTATACTCAAACAGCTCCATAGTCAGCAGATCTCAATTCAATAAAATCCAATTTATTAAATATTCTATATAAATATATTTATTAAATAATTTAAAAATGTATAATTTAAAAAACCTATTAAATAAAGTTAACATGTAAAACAGGCAAAGACAGAAATAAGTTTTAAAAGACTAAAACATTTTTTTTACTTTATTAAGGTTATAGGTGATGAGTTTGATATAAAAAGTTGGATTTTAATCAATAACATTTCACAGACATTCAGGAAGTGTTTAATATCCTTTATGTGTGATGAAATAAAAATGTTTGATTATTTCAGAGCACTGTTTTTATGTATGAAAATATTTTTTTTTAGAAGCGAACAATATAAAATGATAAAACAAGCAGTTTGTTGAGGCTGTTTGTTGTTACTATTCTTAAACTGATCTGCTATAATCCCTGCCCCTAATGTGAAAGCTTATGTATAACCTGTTATGCTTATAAACATATACTTCAGTCCTGACATTGAAAACCTAAGTGCACTTTCTGCGACCACAGATGAGGAACCATAAGCCGCCAACAGTCTTGTATGCTGAGAGAAAGATGGAGGCGTTTCAACGTCTTTAACTTCTAGTTTTTGTACTCGTACTTCTGCTCCAGTTTGTAAGTTTGTTTTCTTCCAGTCATGCCTGAGTTATTGAGCTTCTTCTGTTTCTTCCTTTCTTTCACCTCACGGATTGAATAAGAAAAGTCAGTTTATTTCTTCTGCGAGTCCTGCATGACCTGATCATAGGAAGGAGGGGGCTGGCTGTAGTAGGACGGCAGGGCTGAATACACTGCAGTCACGTGACCGGGGTGTGTCTGCACTGGGTAGACGGTGGAGATGACTGCAGTCTCTGAGTCTCCATAATTGTGAAAGCCAGCCTGACGCAATCCTACCAACACACAGAGACGACATACACACAGCGGATGAGACCACATGAGCGCTGTATGCAAGACGAGTGCAGAGGAAGAGATTACCTGGTGCTATGATGGGGTGTCTGGTAAAGGACACGTTAAAATCAGGTCCCTCGGGTGGAGGGTAAGGGTGGACACGTCTGCGAATGAAGTACCCAGTACTGCAGCAGCACAAAATGCCAATTATCAGCAGCAGCCTACCGATCAATCAAAAACAGCCCATGAAAACACTTGAATTGTTCCGATCCAGGGCGGCACAGTGGCTCAGTGTCATCTCATATCGAGAGGATCCACAGTTCTTTGCAAACTTACATAGGACAAACGGTTTGAGAAACGGATGGGTGTTCTGATCCACCCTCTGAGCTTGAATGGAATTTCCCAAAAATCCTGTTTTTAAAGGGGTCATATGATGTTGCTAAAAAGAACATTATTTTGTGTATTTGGTGTAATGAAATGTGTTTATGCGGTTTAAAATTCAAAAAACACATTATTTTCCACATACTGTACATTATTGTTTCTCCTCTATGCCTCGCCTTTCTGAAACGTGTCGATTTTTACAAAGCTCATTGGTCAGAAAAGCGAGGTGTGCTCTGATTGGCCAGCTATCCAGTGCATTGTGATTGGCCGAATACCTCAAGCGTATGACGGAAATGATACGCCCCTACCATATTGTGATGCCCTGTCCAGCCGGAGCGACGATTCAAAAACATGAAAACCCATTACAACCGAGGCATTTGTTGCATCCAGTGGGGACATAATTACGGATTATAATGACTTATACTGTCTTTTTACGCATTGCGTTGCATCGCGCCGCGTAAACATAAAACCATGTCTGCATTTGTGATCGGAGAAATGACAAACAAGCACTACTCTACACTGCTCAAAACTCGTGTTTGAATCATCAGTGGCAAATCCTTTAAATGAAAATGTACTTACAGTCTGTGAGTCAGAACAACCGGCATTGTAGTCTACTCTCCAGGATCAGGAAACAGTCCTCCATAAAATGCACTGCACACATCTGAATACTTGGGTTGAACTGTTCTGGAACAGTGTTGTAAATACAACTTAACCACTGATTTCTAGTCGTGTCCTCTTTTGGAAGACCAAACAAAGTAGTTTCGCTTTCACAACGAAACACACGGCGGAACGGCCGGCGGGCTGAGCGAGCGGAGGCCGGCGGATAGAGTGAGCGGTGGCCGGACTCCGGAGGGCTAGAGTGAGGAACGGCCGGAGGGCTAGAGTGAAGAACGGCCGGAGGGCTAGAGTGAGCGGAGGCCAGCCGCTAGAGTGAGCGGTGGCGGGCGGGCTTGAGAACAGAACGGCCGGTGGATTCGACGAAGGAACGTCCGGCGGGCTTGCGGCAACCACATGTGGCGACCCCGGGCTGGACTCCGCTTCGTCCACGGTGAAAGCCGATCCGGCGATCCACAGCACGAAGTTGATGTATTTCCTCAGCGACCAGCACGGATCAGCTCTAGGCATGATGAAGCGGATATCGTCTTCTTTTGGAAGGCCAAACAAAGTAGTTTCGCTTTCACAACGAAACACACAGAACACAAACACACACGCGTCTCCACGACATGGCGGCAGCAACAATACTACAGCAAGAATAAAAGTTACGCCTTCTTTCTTTGCGTGAACATTTGGGCGGAGTTATGCAAATCTTCCCACATAGTGACGTAGACATGTGGGGGCGTGTTAGAACGAGCAGTTTTAGGTAGGCGTGGTTGACTCTTAACTTTTATAAAGAATATCTCTTTGAATTTGAGACTTTAGTCTTTGCAACTTTACAGATCTTCTTTATGCACCAAGAGCTTGTAACACTCCAAAGAGAAAGGAAAAATTGAAATCGCATCATTTGACCCCTTTAAAAAGCTTCAAAATGAAAAAGAACTTCTAACAAGTCACTCACCAGAAATACCATATCCTCTGAACAGAAAGGGCTCGAACACAGCATTGCGTGCCACAGCAGTCCTCATATGTCTTGCATCTATGACACAGACATATTCGTCCTTCAGAAGTTTGGGGTCAGCAGAGATGCAGTAAATTGGTCAAAAGTGTCAGTAAGACATTTATAATGTTACAAAAGATTTCTATTTCACATAAATCTGTATTCTATTCATCAAAGTGTCATGAAAAAATGTATCATGGTTTCCATAAACATGTTAAGCAGCTCAACTGTTTTCAACAGTGGCAATGATAAGAAATGGTTCTTGAGCAGCAAATCATAATTTGTGAAGAATCATGTGACACTGAAGACTGGCATAATGGCTGCTAAAAATTCAGCTTTGCCATCACCGGAATAAATTACATTTAAAAATATATTCAAATAAAGAACAGTTATTTAAGTTGTAATAATATTTCACAATATTACTGTTTTTATTGTATTTTTTATCAAATAAATGCAGCCTTAGTGAAAAAAAAAAAGATTGAAAAAAGATTAATTTAGCTACATTAAAAAAAAAAAGTGTTATATCACTATAAGACAAGGTGAACATCATCTACAGATTTATAGTTAGTTTGCAGTTTTCATTCAGATAATATTTAAAGATAAAGCCTAGTATTTGTTGCTGCACAAATGACTTGTGAGGTAAAAGCAAACTTGATGATGAATGTGTTCTTTTGAATTAAATGTAATTAAGAAGCATGACGTAGTGTCTGCTGCAGCTGCAGGAGAATTCATCTGTGCTTTTAGTGTGAAGACTGAGCTGTTTGTACCTCACCTCCTGTGGCGTATTTCAGCGGCTGGCTGTACAGGAGCACTTGTGATAAATTACTCTTATTGAAACCATTAAAAAAGGGGGAAAGTTTCTGAGCTAAGGAATTCTCTTTTTTTCCACTGTGCATCTGAATGAATTCTTTAACCACCATTCTGTTTAAGCTATTAAGAACAAAGTAGAAAAGAGTGAGGTTAGAAAAGATTGGGGTAGTCTGGGTCCTGGTTTTCTAGCTTCTTGTTTCCTTCCATAAAACCACAACTGCCCTATTCAATTCCATTTTATCTACTATACTTACACGAAGTACACAGGATAATCTCCTTCAAAGTACCAACAGTACTTTTTTTCAGCAGCCGTCTGCAAATGAAGAGATAGTTTTATAAATAAAGTGTCATGTGTGCAAAAGTAATCAACTAGGTTCATTTGCATGGAAGAACAAGGTAATAAATTTAAGCTGCAACTAACAAATTTATTCTGAAAAGAATAAAATACAAACAGTTGTTCAGATCATTTGAGACTGCCCTTGTGTTGGTTCTCTTCTATCATTTTGTCTTTTGGCGAAAAAGACACTCATGTTTTTCCAGTCTAGCAGATTGATGTAGCCTATGTCAAGTACTATTGAGACAACTGTTTAGTTTCCAGTAATTAAAAACAGAAACTACTGAAAATATTGATCCATTTTACCTAACATCATCCTCAAGCTAACATAACCACCGCACAAATAAAAAATAAATGACTATTACATTGTCAAAACGTTTTGTGTCCTTTTAAGTGAAAAACATATTAACATAATGGTGTTTTTCTAATTTTTTTTGTGACAGCTGAAGACTGCATCTGATATCATGGAAAATAAACTACAAAGAGCTTCTTGTCTGAGTCCTGGACGAGAACAATAAACAATGTTGTGTGAAAGATGGACATTGTGTATGCATCTGGAAAATGTTGTACGACATTTGTGCCACAGAGACTGACGGAGCAAGAGATGTATGACAACAAAATGTGAATGATAAAAAAATACATCAAAGTTTAATTCATAACTAACATGTTTTTGTAAACTATAAAATAAAATAAAATGCTGTGTTACTCACCTCAGCAAATAAAAGTGTGATGAGGAGGCCGCATAATTGTCGCATTCTGTAATCACAGCGCGAGATCAGCCTGCTGTACCTGCTTTACCTCAAGAACGAAAGAGACAGGCAGAGGCCACTGAAGCTGCTCGACAACGGTGATGGTCCTTCTTTTAAACGGTGGGTTATTGATCCACATGTCCTGCACTGGAACATTATTAAACTCTCATGCAGCGCTCGAGCTGTGGCATCGGACTCTCCGACTCTCTCTACATTCCCCGTTATACAGCGATGAGGATGACATCACATGACCTCACATCACAAAGACACGTTTGTGCAGCTCTCTTCTACTGATTTCATCGCTGTCGGACTACTTTCACACAAGTAACCTAAACCTTTGACTTATCACACTTGTAAACAGCTAGTCATTCATCCAAAACCTGCCATTGTGCGCTTTCTTTAGAGCTCCTCGTTTCCTTTCACACAACCATTGTTGTGTGAAAACTAAAAGCCATTTTAATATAGCTTACCTCACTCAGTTGGCCAGTAAAGCACGAATTTATGGTTATTTACTCACCCTTTAAGTGACTACATATGTTTAACGTCATTCCTGTGTAAAACATAAAATAAGTTGTTTTGAGAAAAGTCTTCATACAGTGGAAGGGAAAAGTCATCATAACTCAGCTGGTTTGGTTAGCAACATTCTTCAAAATATCTTTATATTCCGAAGAAGAATAAGTCATACAGGTTTGGAAAGACATGAAGGTAAGTAAATGATTACTGAAATACCATTTTGGGGGAAACTATCCCTTTGATATTTACTTTCAGTAACCTACATCAAAACAGACTACAACACAAAATACAATCACCACTAACAATTTATGTTTTGTATCTTTTATTGCTGTGGATGGTTGCATTGTTTTTCAATCTGATATTTTCCCAGAAACCCCAAAAATACAGTTTATGTAGGTACAGTAGGCCATTTTTTGTGTTTACTTCATATCCTGTTGCGCATCAGTAGCATTACTGTACAAAAATATACATCTGTGTTCACCCAAGGAATAACAGATATGCTGTACATTTTTCAAATTAAAATCATTTTAAAGTCAATTTTAAAAACATTGTCTCTTCACCCTTGTGATGTACCATGATCACGTCAATGCAGTCATCAGGAATCACTTTGTCTGTATGTACACGTATAAAGTCTTGGTTCATGAATGAAATTCTCTTAGAAATAATGACAAAGAACTTGAGATCAAAGAGGTATTGTATTATTAACTCTTCCCATCATCAAAAACGAAAAAAAATAAAGTCCTGTGTATGACACTATTCTTAAAATGTGGCAATGATGATTATACTCAATATTAATACCACAGAAATTCCATTGGCATTTATACAATATCTGTATTTGCATAGATCAATAAATGACATTAAAAGCACATTTTACTGTGGCAACATTCCTCTAGTGTTGATTTAACTGTTTTCAACGGATAAATATAGCATTATTTTTTTTCATCCTAAAGTACACATAAATCACTACGAATGAAGACAAACATTTCAATTAAATATTTCTGTTGATAAATTCTATAATCACATCAAAATAATTTAAAAAATCTAATTAGCCAGGAAGATATTAGCTCGCAAAACAAATACAAAACCCTTGTCCAGTATTAAAAATGTGTACTTTGCTTAAACATTCCCACAACACAAAATCACTAAATCAATAAAACCCAAAGAGGTTCTAAAATAGTATATGTAACAAAGTAAGACAAAAAAATTTAATGCTTTTTCTAGACAAAATGATTTTGTCAGTGTTCTAATGATCCTTGTGTATATTCTAACATTAGCTCTATAATCTACACTGTTCAATTTAACACAGTAACCCATTAGTGTTTGTGTCATAGCTAAATAAATACTACAAATATTTAGAACAAACTGTCAATTAAATAAAGGTTTCAGTTGCTACTTTCAACTTTTTTGGGGATTTAAAACTGGTAGAAGAATCTAAGCAGTTTTAATTAATCAAGCTAAATAAAAAGGTTTCAATTTAGTAACATAAAACATTATCTTCTAAATTAAGATCTACACAATTTAAAACAGCGGCCTACACACATTCCAACAGCCTACAATCATCATGACTACTAGATGCAAACTAAAACGCAAAATAAAACGGAAATTGCACACAACCGTTTAAAAAACAAACCAGATCCAAACAGTAACAAATCCATTAAGAAACACACACTCGATGATTTTTGTGCAACTGCGTAAACAAGACACAAGGTAGTAGGGCTGTCAAAATGGCTGAAAAACTAAATTCGAATTTTGTACTTAAATATTATCAAAATTCGAATTATATTCTAATTTAAAATGCATAATTTCAGTTAGGGTGAAGAAAAGCTTTAGGCTTCTCCTCTGAGGCCACAAGAGGGCGCATCGAGCAAAATATTACTAATGCACGTTTATTCAAAGCATAAGCTAACATGACTATCCGTGAAAAAAAGTGCATAATGTTTAAAATAATGTTTATAAACCAATTATAATTAAGTTGCTTAAACAACTATAAACAAAACAGCATCATGTATGCATGCATAGTTTAATACAAAGAGCGGAAAGCCAATCACACAGAGTGCATTTCTCATTTAAAAACATGAGATGCAGTGGAATGGGGGAAAAACATGCCATAAAGTCTCGAGATATGTTTTTTTCAAAGTTGAACTTGCATTAATTTTACATGGCTTTCTAAACATGCGGCTCCTTTGTGCGAGACGCGAGTGCAACGGTAATAGATGTCCCTCTAGAAAATGCGCGAAATATGTGTTCTGTGTGAACGGCGTGGTTTCAGTTTTGATGCAAACAAGATCTTCTCCGCATTGATGTTCCCTTTTTCCGCAATATTTTTAATGAACAACGCAGCAGCGCCACATCTAGTGGCTTCAACTGGATAGGCTAACAAAAACATTATAATGCAACGACACTTCCATCGTTATCGCATCTCGTGCGCCACTGATAAGGCTGCCTCCTTAACGCACACCTAAAATTCGAATGCAACGTTTTT